TTCCTGAGTACAAACTTGGCAGGAAAAGATGAATCATGCCAACAAAATCCTTTATTAAGTATAAATGGACCACAGAATTGTTCTCCAAATCCAACTATCCCCAAACTAGGGGTAGCCAGAGATGATATACTGAGAGATCTTCCTCTGGGGTAGCATTCCTCAAAGTGAGTACTGCAGGGATTGGAATCCCATAAGGAACATGTTAAAAATACAGATTACAGAGTCCACCAGCCAGGCCTTCAGAATAAGAGCATCTGAGATTAAGGTCCAGGTGTCACAATCTCTGAAAAGCACCCCAGATGATGACTCTGATGTTCTTTTGACTCTCCTGATTGATACTGAGGAAACTTGCCCCATCATATATAGGGCTGATCTAATCATGGATATAACCTTGTTAGATGAATGTACGTGTTTTCATTTTGTCAAAGACTGACATACAACCAACCAGAACCAAGCTACGTTCAGGAAAAAAAGTGCAGTTAAACTTTTCTCATTTAGCAGATTTAAACACCATTCAGATTTTACCTACAATGTAAGGAACTCAAAACACTAGGTAGGGGATCAGCTTAGACAAAAACTAAGAGAAAATGGTCTCAGCATTTTAAATTCTCTCTATTCTCATTAGTCCAGCCATTTATTCTGGGGAGGTGGTGGTGGGTTGGTAATACTAGGCTTTTAACAAGTATGCGAGGGCAGAGGTACCAGCCCACTGTAAGCAGGTGATCTGGCTATACCAGTGCACATCAGTTGACTTCTCAACCCTACCTTTCTTCTACAGTAAATAGTTTTGCCCAAGATTGAACCAGAACAGAGTATGTTTCTATTCATTCTATTTTGGGGAAAAGACAATACATGCGATTAGAACCTTAACGTACTTTTTTTTGCTAGACTTGTTTTCTGTAAAAAAGAACTGATAAAGGATTATAAAACCTCCAACTTTCTGAACTGCTTGAAATGTTACTATTGCTTCAAATTTATAAAGAGCTTTCATGACCTCAATATCCCAGTTATGCAAGCATTTGTTCTATTGTTAAAGACCTACTGAACTGGTATCTGGGAATTTTTTATGTGGGAAAAGGCATATTCCTGGCACACAGCCTTAATGGAGGTGCACATAAGATACAAAGCCTCCATATGCCTTGGGAAAATGAACTAGAGACTCAACTGGAAAACTTTGTTTCAGACCAGTTAAAAACATAAAATATAGCTACCATAGAGCTTAATTGTACAGTGCTAGTTTCAATTTCTGTATCAAGAGACAATTTTTTGCATTTTCGTGGGATTGGCCCACAGCTACAGCCATATTGGACAGATGTTTTTAACTCTAAATGCAAGGCAGAATTACCTCTCATTTCGTTACACAGATTGAATATTTTGCATGAGCATTCAAAAACGCATGTTTATAGTTTGAACTTCTTATGTTTATTGTTTTCTACTACCAAATGTACTTTCTACAGATGGAAAACTCAGAGTCTTTGATGATGGGTGGTGAGGAATTGCTCAAAAAGATTCAGTTACACACCGAGAGACGTATTACACGTAATGTTGGGAAGAGCTAGATTATACAATTATCAAAATATGTACAAGAGCAATCCTCATCTAGAAGAAGTGTTTCAGGGATTCCAAATGATCATACTCAACAGCTGGGCCTATTTGCAAGACTTGGTCAATGGAAAACACTGCCACTTTTCTCCCCCTTATAGTCCCCACACTCTCTATTGCCATCTTTGCGAAAGCAGAGTGGCACACCGCCTTATCGCGGCTGCTCCTTATTACTCTCAAAGCACAGCAATGAAAGCAGGCAAGACGATTAAGCAATGTGGCAGCTCATTTTTATGAGTTTACCTTTAAAGACAACCAGAGAATTTTAGAGAAGTGGATAGAAGGTTTACAGCTACAGGGAACTGCTGTGGAATATGTATTTTTGGAAGTCAACAACTTCCTTGAAGTCTAAGTGTGCTAATTGATATTACTTATTTTCAACAATACAAAGGTTACATGTTCTTAAGGGGAAAAAAGCACACAGAATACCCTTCTTACAAGGGTGTCCAATGCTTTTGGCATCACCTGATTTTGTCATAACTTGCAACATGTTACAAAAAAAAAAGTGTATGAAATTTCTTCTTTAAACTCAAAGACTTGGTTTTGTGTTGAGAATTTTGTAGTAACCCTCAACTTGCAAATATGCCTAAAATATCATGCAGGTTTAAAACAATTAAGATATATGTAATCTAGTTTTAGGATCTCAAAAATGTTACAAACTGTTATTTAGTTTAGTCAAGGCTAATGAAATATTCTGGAAAATGGCCAATATATATTTATGTGTCCATACATACACACACATGTACATTTAAGGATTACTAATCTTTAGCAAATGATTACTTTAAACATCAAAACTTCATCTCTAGTGATTCAGAAGGCACTGTTTATCTTACACAACCTTGATAATACCCAGTTTTCTGGTAATGAGTCCATTAAGAAATACAACATAGGAACCTCCAAAGGGAGAATTTCCTCTCCTCTGGCCTCAGCTGATAGAACTAGGAGCACCGGAGTTTGAGCTGGAAGAGGTGGTGAGTAATGACCTTTTGGACACATCCTCATGCAATAAATACAGTATGAAAATTTAAGCTCTATCATTGACAACTGCGATATCCCCAAATAAAAGGATCACCGAGGATAAGTGCAAAGTATGTAGTAAAATATTTACAGAGTCCAAAATGATAGGGACCTTGGCTCTGAAACTTATTATAATCACATAGGACTTACCAAAGCATTCTCACTAGGCACTGTTCTGTTGATGCATGGCATTGGAACTAACTGTTAACCATTTTCCATTCAATCTAAGAGGGATTATTTTCTCATGAAAACCCATCTCTTAATTTCATTAAGAGAACGCAGTACAATACAATGTACCAAAATTTGTTTGTATAAACTAACTCTACCAGATTAATAAACAGTATTTATGCTTCTGAATTTCAAGGATCTACACCTTGTCACATACTACCCACCCAACTCTCCAGCATTTCTTTGGATGATATGACATGAATAAGTAGGTCAAAAATGCACTTGGGAAAAAAAAGTTTCTTTATTTCTATTTATTCATTTACACAAAGACAGTATCAACAATAAGTAATAGGAACATACTTTTAAGTTTTAAAATTAATTTTCTATTTTGAAAGGTTCAGGACTTTGTCTCTTTTTTCTATCTTACTCCTTTAAATACTTCAGTCCAACAAAAAAGCAGAAAAATAAAAAGTTTATTCTCTTACTTTTCTTAAGGTCAGATTGGGATAATTAGAATTGGCTCTTTTGAATTTAGCCATCATTTAGAGTAACCTGGAAATTTATTCACAGAATGATACATGTAAGAATGTTAAAGCACAACCAAAAAAACAAAACAATGTTTTAAAGGACAAATTTCAGGGCACTTTCAAATTCTGAGGCATAAGAAAGCCCTCTTTGGGATCCTTAAGTTAAAAGATTCTTCCCTTTGATACAGAGTGAAAATTATTAGGAATTATAAAGCACCCATGGGGACTGATAATAGGGCCCATGGCAGCTGCCTTAAGTTAGGGATAAATGGAATCTCCATGTTTCAGTGAAGGGACCAACAAAAGAAAGTCCAGGAAGCCACCTTAAACTCATTTCCATGGCAGGTCAAATGATGCGGATACATGTTTCCTTTAGAAAGATTTTATCCCACTGCCACCTTTCTAAGGCTTAGCCCTCAAACTGTTCTTGTTGCTACTTCTCTTCTTTACACCACCTGTTCTAGGAGCAAAACTCCTGGAAGAATGGTGCTACAGACTGGAAAATCAAGACTGTGGGGACACGAAAGGGGCTCTAGGGGCCAAAATACACAGCATCTAACAAGGAGACTAGCTAATCTAGAAATGGACTCTTAACGCTGACTCTAGTATATTCTCGAGATATGCTTACAACTTTAGTGGTACTTAAACATCAAAATTACTTGGACTCTTCTAAGCATATTTTACTTTTAAAAAAGGAAATATACTAGGCTAACAAGCAAAAATAAAAATGTATTTGCTCTTCAACAAATAATATTTTAATGTTTTTATAAAAACAATTCCTTTCAGATACTCTGATTAACCTTTAAGTGACATAAAAAAAAGTTTCAGCATTCTTTAACATCAGTATTTTGCACAATTTAAAATACAGCTATTGAGTGTAGCATTTCAATGGGAAAAAAAAGAAAAGAAAAAAGGAGAATGGTAACTCACTGAGAAGTTTATATACCTAGTAAAGTTTAGTTTGTCTTGGATTCTTTAAAAAAATCTGGCCCAGAATTTTAGTTATCCTAATTACCATCCCAATCAAATAGGGTATCTATGTGTGGATTCTAGATACAAGTAAAATATTTTGAACTAATAAACACAAGACCCACTGATTGGACTGTTTGTTTAGAATCTTTTTTACTGGGTTTGGACAAAGAAGACTTCAATAAAGCTAACTATATACTGAGTTCCACTGATTAAAAATGCAGTCTTAAACACTCTGCTTTTGTGGTAAATTTTGAGAGAAATCATAAGCGTAAAGAACAATATTGTAAATGTTGTACTGTTTGCAGGTAGTTGTTGGAGAAGTGAAATGCTTGTATTCAAACTATCAAAATTCTGACCTTTCAGAATAGGTTTTATAAAACAATTTCCTGAAAATCAGCAACTGCTTTAAACTCTTAAAATATCAATTTCAATAAAAAATATCCTTACAGATAAATCTTAAAGTTATTCCTTTCAGTCTCAATTATTTTTTACTTCAACTATATATTGAACACAGAACCAGTTTCTAAACATCTAATGAAGAACAATCTGAATGTCAAATAAAGCTAGGCAATCTAACACAACTTGTATAAGAAAGTCTCAGTGTGATTTATCAAAATTCAGAATTAAATTTCTAGAATAGTGAAAAACTTTCAGTCTCTTCTTAATATTCAAAATCAGCAACTTCCCATGAGACTAGAAAGTTAGCAGAAGGGATCAAACAGATTTAAGCACTGCCCGACTTCTTCTAAAGTGATGTACTCTTTTATCCTAGAAAAGACAGAAGTAAGTCCTTTTTATTACTTCACTTTTGTATTATCGCTATGACCTAAGATAGTTGCAAAATAGTTAAGCATTCATTTTGGGTTTAAAAACTGTTAAAAGTAGTCCTTTTGGGGAAGCATTCCTGAACAAATATAACAAGTGTAACAAATGTACCAGTGAGTAGTTTTATTCACTAATTTAAAAAGAAATCTCAGGAAACAGAAACAGAAGACTTGGAGTCAATACCATTTTACAAAGATTATAATTAATGATTTGGCAGTGATGCCCCAAAGACAGCTGGCATAAAACATATTTAATTTTTAGAAGTACTGTTTTTACTAAAAGAAGTGCATCTGGTAGAAATCACAGCTTGAGAATACTACAATTCAAACTAAAATTTTATACTTTTAGGTTAAAAGCTAAAAGTTTTGGCATATTTAAAGGTATATCCTTAAACTGTGATGAAGATATATCATTCTTTAGGAAATGAAGAGACAAAGAAAAATACATGCAAAATTTTCCTTTCACTTTATGTTGCCTGCAGATGTGCAGACAGAAGGAAGTGAGGCTGGGGTGCTTGGTTGGCTTAGTCAGTTAAGCATTGGACTTCGGCTCAGGTCATGATCTCACAGTTTGTGAATTCAAGCCCCACTTCAGGTGAGACACATTTCTCTCTCTGCCTCTCACTCACTTGGTGCCCTCTCTTGGCAGGGGGGTGGGGGGGTGGGGGTGAGGGTGGAGTAAAGCCTTACAAAAAGGAATGGAGCTATTTTCTTTTCTGTAAGAGCTTAACTGTGTGCCCTTCTCCTAGAGATTAAAAATCAGTTGGCATATAAAGAAGAGTAACTTCTGGAAATTATGTAACCTTTAATATACTCTTTTATATAACAGGCTAATATCCTGTTTAGTTTTAAGCCCAGAAAAGTGGTCATAAATTCAAGTATCTTCAGAGGTCAGGTAGGACATGAAAGATTATAAAGACAAGATAGAAACAGTATATACCCTGCGCCTCAATGCATTCAAATTCAACTAAAACAACAATATTTAGCTAATCAAAATAGGTCTAGATACCAGACTTCAGACTACCAACTTCTGACTCCTAGCCCAGAGGAACAGAAAACCGGAAAGTTCAAAGTAGGGTTTTTGGTTAACGCCAAGTTTAAAGACTACTTTCTGCCTTGTAAACAAATCATTTATAAGTACTACCTATTTAACTTTCAGAACTTTGGGCAAGGTAGGCTGTTAAACAATCCTAGTTCTTTCCTTTTAAATTATACTATGTAGAATGAAATAATAAGAAAACGAATGTCAACTTTAAATGAACATGTTTACTTCCTGTTGAGAAGATATGTTAAGAACTTAATCCTACTATGACTCTACTCTTTGTGCATTATACAAAGTCCTTAGTATATCCCCATTAAAAAGGTTGGAAGCTTCAGGGCGCCTGGGTGGCGCAGTCGGTTAAGCGTCCGACTTCAGCCAGGTCACGATCTCGCGGTCCATGAGTTCAAGCCCCACGTCAGGCTCTGGGCTGATGGCTCAGAGCCTGGAGCCTGTTTCCAATTCTGTGTCTCCCTCTCTCTCTGCCCCTCCCCCGTTCATGCTCTGTCTCTCTCCGTCCCAAAAATAAATAAACGTTGGAAAAAAAAAAAAATTAAAAAAAAAAAAAAGGTTGGAAGCTTCATCCTACATCCATTCATAGATTAAAAAAAAAAAAAAGCTTTTCTCCTTTCCCTGTTTTAAGACACAAAGCAATGGTTAAAATTTTCCCTTTGAATGTAAAATGGTGTAGTCATTTTGGAAAAATTCTCACAATTCCTTGAAAGGTTAAACATAGTTACACAACGCAGCAATTACATTCCCAGGTATATACCCAAGAAAGATAAAAGTCTATGTCCACACAGTAACTTGTCCATGAATGTTCACAGCATTACTCATCACAGCCAGAAAGTGGAAACAACCCAAATGTCTATCAAGTGATGAATAAACAGAGTGGTATATCCATAAATAAAAAGAAATGAACCACTCATACACACTGTAACATTGATGAACCTTAAAACCATTATGCTACGTGAAAAAAGTCAGTCATAAAAGGCCACATATTGTACTATTCTATTTATATGAAATGTCCAGAACAGGAAAATACTTAAAAAAAAAAAAAAGTAGGCTAGTGGTTCCCTAGGGATAGAGGAGTTGGGGGGGGGGGGGATAAAGAGTAACTGCAAATGGTGAAAGGGTTTATTTTTGGGCTGGTTAAAATACCCTAAAAATGATTGTGGTCATGATGGCACAACTCTGCAAATACACTAAAAAATGGAATTGTGTGTTTTATAAGGGTTTACTGTATAGTATGTGGATTATATCTCAATAAATCTGTTGTTAAAAAAAAAAACACAAAAAACCTTCCCTTTTAATAAGCACAATATTCCTCCCTCATTAGAGTGAGTACTTGGTTCCTTTCCATATTCACAGACTCAGACCTAAGGGATCTTAAAAGACCTTTAGTCCTGTGTCTTCTCATTTTAAACTTGTAAAATCTGGAACCTTAGTTAAGATTATCAAGTAATCTATCTAATGTAACATAACCAGGATTAGAAACCAGAACTTTCTTAAATTCAAACACTCACATTCTCTTCCATGTCATCAACTCTTAATCAACTTCCATTTCTTTCTACTCAGCTCTTTTCACTGCTTCACTTTATCTCTTCTCCCCCCACATTGTTCAGGTATGTAATTTGAACAATCAATTTCTTCTCTTTCAAAAAATATTTTTTAAAGTTTATTTATTTTGAGAGAGAGAGAGAGAGAGAGAGAGAGAGAGAGAGAACACACACATGCGTGCTCATACAACATACAAGCTGGAGATGGACAGAGAGAGGGAGACAGAATCCTAAGCAAGCCTCACACCACCTGATGTGGGGCTTGAACTCAGGAAATGTGAGATCATGACCTGAGCCAAAATCAAGAGTTGGATGCTCAGCTAAGCCACCCAGATGCCCCACTTTTCTTCTCTTTCGTCTAATATCCACACACAGCCATACCTCATTTTACTCCAATCTCATGTGTCATTTTTTGCAAATTAAAGGTTTGTGGCAACCCTGCATTGAAAGAGTCTATTGGCACCATTTTTCCCACAGCAATTTGCTCGCTTTGTGTCCCTGTGTTACATTTTGATAATTCTAATACTGCACAATTATTACTATTATATTTGTTATGGTAATCTGTGATCAGTGATTCTGAGCTGCTGAAAGCTTAGATGATGATGAACATTTTTTAGCAATAGAGTACAGATGTATTTTTAAAATGTTTATTTTGAGAGACAGTGTGAGCAGGGGAAGGGCAGAGGGAGAGATGAGAGAGAATCTCAAGCAGGGTCCACTGAGCCCAGAACCCAATGTGGGGCTTGATCTCATGTATTGTGAGGAGGCAGACACTTAACGGACTGAGCACCCAGGCGCCCCAGCAATAAAGCATGTTTTAATTTAGATACATATACCATTTTTTTAGAGATAATACTATTGGACACTTAATAGACTACAGTATAGTGTAAAGAAAACTTTTATATGTACTAGAAAACAAAAAACATTAACTTGACTCACTTTATTGCATATTCGCCCTATTGCAGCAGTATGAAACTGAACCCGCATGATATCTGAGTTATATTCTGCTTTGTGTACCTAACATTTCCTCTTTTTCCATTTGGTCAAGCCAATATTCTGTTTCAACTCCCTTCTTTCACAAACCTTTTCAATTACAAGCTTCTGCTAAAGATTTCTTCTGTAAGGACAAACTACACTATATCAAGGTTTGAGCAGTGTAATGGCCAGGTAAAATTCACTCAGAGAGGTTTTCTGAGTTACTAACATCAAATGCCAAGAGTTCAATTAAATAAATGCTCTATGCAATCTCAAAATATATATTCTACAGAAACAAAGATACTTCATATCTGACAAATATGCTTTTTATCCTGTATAATACTATTCCTTTTATACCTTGAAGTAGTCATCTTGAGTAACAAGAGAGTTTCTCAGTCTGTTCTCTGGATTAAACAGACAAGATACCACAGTCTGTATGCTTCTGTCCACAGATTTCTGAAAAAAAGAAGTTTTTCCAACAATCTAAGGACTATTCCTTTTACTTACTTTAACAGGTTTTTCAAAGAAAGTTAAATACATGTACTTCTAAAGAATTCTTATGTAATCCATATTACATATTAAATGTGTTACACATTACATTTTCATGTAATTCATTACATATCACTTAATATGTAACTTTTCTATCAAACTTTAAAAATATTTTAGAATCTTAGTGATAACAGTACTGGTTATAAAGCTCAATTTAGTAAAACCCTCAAATATTTCCTTAAGGTTCTTTAATTTTCCCTGTTAAGAAACAGTAAACTTCAGCATTTGAAGAAAATATATCTAGGATAAAACCTGATAATTATAACTATTTTAATATTTTTTCAAATTCTAATCATGAATCAAATCAAGGAATTTTTTTACTCTGCAGTTCAGTAGTTCTCAATTATTTTTAATTTCCACTAAGAAACACATGGACAAAGTAGCTGATGTGATGGGAATGTGCACACAAACTCCAATGGGAATCCTTCAATGTTATTATGCACATTCCCATCACATCAACTACTTCCATATTCCCACCCATTCAACAAAAACAGGACAATTCAAGAGTGAGAGCACAGTTATATGAATTTGTTCCAACGATAAAAAAAGAAGAAATTGTACCTATTTCGGTATTTCGATTATTACTAGTGACTCTACCACTCTTGAGAGCTGCTGCCATATATAATGTTATGAAGAGAATGCCATAAATATTTGTATATTACTATTCAGCTAAGTAAATGTTTAAACTGGTTAAAAAAAAGAGGTAAAATTCATATTAATCTCTTTTGAAGAGAGGATTCTTGAGGAAGCTATCTACTACATTCCACCAAAGTATGTTTGTACGCATTAAAGTATGTTTTAAAAAACAATGAAAATACAAGAGAGAAAAGGACTACTGAATCAGAAACTATATGTAAACACTGAAAGTTTGGGGGTGCCTCAAGTTTCATGAACTTTCACATAAAATGCCAAATTATTAGTCAATTACTTAAGCTGTTATTTTTGGCTTCCATATTTAAATTTGAAAAAAGATACTTGCATCTCTAAGGGCCATTATAAAAACTTCAAAAAATAATTATGAAAATATAAACAAAATATAAAATTAGATGTTTGCCTTTTGTGGGCCATTTCCAGAGGATGGAGTAGCTTCATGAACTGAACATTCACTTTGCAAAACTTCAGCTCCTGGATCAACTTCATTACAGTGGTAGTTAACAGCGGTATAAGTCTACATTATAAAAGTATAATTAAAAAGATGTACATTAGATACATTTCTGAACAATCTATTCTTCAAAATTAGCGGATATTGAGCATTTAAATGTGGGTTGTGTTGAAGCTGAATTATGTTATTTCAGAAACTTTATTTTGAACTGAATAACTGAATTGCCATAAGGCAGTATTTTATTTTGAAAAGTCTTCTAAACTTCAACATAATCAGATTAGAAGAGCTCTAAGAAAAAGAAGCTCCAAGGATGCCTGAGTGGCTCAGCTGGTAAAGTGTCGACTTTGGCTCAGGTCATGATCTCGTGGTCTGTGGGTTCAAGCCCCACGACAGGCTCTGTGCTAACAGCTCAGAGCCTAGAGCCTGCTTTGGATTCTGTGTCTCCCTCTCTCTACCCCTCCCCTTCTCATGCTCTTTCAAAAATAAACAAACATGTTAAAAAATTAAAACAAAAAACAAAAAACAAAAACCTTCAACATCTAGTTACAGAATGAGAATTTCCCAGTGCCTGAGAATTTGAATTAATGTCATATCATTCAAAGGTCCAATCTTGATGAAGGATACAAAGTAACAAATACTAAAGTGTTTTAAAGCTAACACCCTCTTTTGTGTTCTTATATATAACATCTAACAGTATTAACAGCAAAACATTTGCTTCTCTTCAGCAGATTTTTTTTATGGAGAGAAAACTAGATAGATTCAATACAAATTCTAAATTCACTGAATTAGAATTAACACAGGTATTAATACTACCTTCCTTAGATTATATATAATTTAGCACCTATTGTATGCAGAGCAGCCATTGCCTGAAAGCACACAAAAACCACATGAGAAATGAAAAGCGGTTTCTCCCATGGAAGAATATACTTGGGCTGACATTAATAAAACATAGCACATAATGTGAAAGGGAATTTAAAAATATTTTTAGGCATATATGAAATGACAGAAGTCAAGAAAAATATGATAGTTAAAAGTTAAAACAAGAAAATATTTTAAATAAAGAAAAGGGAGTATACGTTTTAAATAAAGAAAAGAGAGTAATTCTCCTTACCGGGGGTATAACATAACTCCTTTGTTCCCCAGCAGGCCACTGTGGTGGCATCTTAAAAAAACAAACAAAACAAAAGGAAGTAACAATTAGTTAACCATTCTTACACATTTTCACAAAGATAGACAATGTTGAGGTATTTGTCATGCTGGTTCCTTGAACTTGCAGTAAAAGAAACAGAATGGAAGAATGAAATACTTTAGGTTTCTAATACCTGAGGGAATTACTGTTACTTTATACATAAACCCTAATTTTTCTCAATTTTCTGGTGTTAGCTTTCAGAAAAACTCAAAGATAGTAGTTCTCTGGATTTATTCCCATAGCTAATGGTCATGGGCCATAGATATGGTCATATCTATGGTCAGAAATTCAGAGAACTACTATTTTGTAGTAGTCAGCTAAAATAAACACAACTAAATATAATTGGAATTCAATGTTCTAAAACCTGAGTTATTTTATTTCATCTATCCCCCTAAAAAAGCTTATAAAAGTTAGTTTGGATGGTTCAGCTATTTGCTAGCAAAAATGGAAGAAAACATGCTGAAATACAGAAGAGGACACAAAATCTTATAAAACAGTGTAAGAAATCTTTTTTTTTTTTTTAATTTTTTTTTTTCAACGTTTATTTATTTTACAGGATAGAGAAGATGAACGGGGGGAAGGAGAGAGGGGAGACAAATGAGATAGGGCTCCAGGCTCGTGCATCAGCCCAGAGCCTGCGGGGCCCGAACTCACGGACCACGAGATCGTGACCTGGCTGAAGTCGGACCAACCGACGCTACATCGCACCACCCAGAGCCGTAGAAATCTTTATGCTAAGTATATTCCTGTCAAATCTTTTTCCCTTATTTTTAAATAATTAAAGGTCCTAATTCTAGACAAATTCTAACTTTCTTATCTTTTTTTAAATTTTTTTTTTCAACATTTATTTATTTTTGGGACAGAGAGAGAGCAAATGAATGGGGGGCAGGGAGAGGAGGGAGACACAGAATCGGGAAACAGGCTCCAGGCTCTGAGCCATCAGCCCAGAGCCCCGACTGGGGCCTGAACTCCACTATCGATGAGATCGTGACCTGGTTGAAGTCGGACGCTTAACCGACTGCGCCACCCAGGCGCCCCACTAACTTTCTTATCTTAAGCATGTTCTACTAGTTTAAATGACAAACTATTGGAGAAATTCATATAAATGCCTGAATAATATTCCAAAGTAAATCATTTTGTTCCCTTTTAAATTACCTGATAATTATATACAGGCAGCTGATATCCAGTGATAACCTGAACTGGTGAACTAGGATAAGGAGGATATGCCTGCAAATAAAGTTTACAGAAAGAATGGATTAACATGGAAAATTCTTGAAAGTAACAAAGTAAAACTTCCAATACAACAAAAATATGAATATAAATCATATTTTTCTATATACGGAATGCAGAATTCTATTGGAGTGATTGGCTACATTAAGAAAAATTCTCTGTAAAATGTTAGTCTTTTGGGAGAGGAGAAGGGATGAATGAGGGAAGAGACTGATTTTGCCCATTTACGTTTATCTTATTTGTGTATTTATCCCCACTGAGAAGTTCTTCCTTATACTGGTGATAAGGCTCTACTTAAGATAGATTTCCATATTAAAGTTATATTAATACATCTGTTATTTCTTTGTAAAAATATTTTTAAGCAGTTTTGTATTCCTTGACAATATCATGGAGTAATGTGTAGTCCTCCTACACACTTTATGGCTCTTTCTGTATTTCATTTCTACAAGTTAAGGGCAGTATATAACCCCAAAACTGAAATGAACAGTAGAATGCCTTTCATCTTTCAATAAATATTTATTAAAAGCATCTATGTAATATCATACATGAATACACCCAAGTTAAGTAATAGCTCACAGCAAACGTTAGGAATGAGTAGGGCTTTTCTTCTAACCATGTTTAGAGCAAGAAAAATAACAAAAGGTATACCCTGTGTTTAGGGTAGATGGAAAATGTAAACAAATGAAAGACACTACAGAAACACTTCTCTACAATTTTTCTTTTCTTGAAAATAAAATGTCTTTTAAACTGAAGAAAATAAAATGAAGAAAATCAATGTTATTCATCATCAATAAGAGATAGTAAATATTTCAAATCCCATTTCAAATATTCAAGTATCCAAACAAATTATATGCCAGAAAACTCACAGAATTTACAAATACAGTTAACTCATCAGAAACCTATCCATTCTAGAACCAGAATACATCCAGAAGTCAGTAATCTATAGAAGACATCTGAAAATCATTGAAAATAATGAATAAATAGAACTGCCAAACTTAAAGAAGAATAAATCAGGCAAACACATGAGGAAAGCTGCCTTCAAATATTTTAGGAATTATCCTATGGGGGGAAGGGAAATGAATGAGATATATATATTCTTCATGGCTACAGAGGTCAGTTCTTAAAGACTTACAAACTATATAGAAGCATATTTTAGCTTGGTGTTAGAAACAATACTAAGAACAACAGATTTCTAACAAAAGTAATAGATTTCCTTCTCATCACTCAGAGACAGTATTACCACTTATTATGGAAAATATGCATCTGATTTGAGGGTAAAAAGTGAGACTGGCTTACTTTTAAGGTGCCCCCATCTATAAGATCTGCAATACTATTTAAAAAAAAGAAAAAGGAATGTTAAATAATTTTTACCTGAACATACTGAGTTATAGGATTCATCATGGTTGGAGGCTGCATGTAAGTTTCAGTGTTTGGATTACTCCAGACACTCTGAAACTGCGGTGGAGGAGGAGGATTAAAAACCAAAGGACGCGGCTGCACATGATAAGCACCTTTTTAAAGAATAATACGAAAACAAAGACTACTTTTAGTTTCCTGAAAAGCTACATATGTTAATAAGAACAATTCTTCCCCTTACTCACATAAATTTTGTTTCCTGATTGCAGGTCCCAGTTTCAGCTTTTTACCATGGAAATTTATCTGTGACTGAAAATAAAACCATAATAAAGCTAAAATCAATTTCAAAGACTTCTAAGACTTTGGTAAATACCCCAAATCTTCTAAAATTTCTACCATCGGAGATCATCACTGGTAAGAACATACCAAATCAAAATTTATCAGCACGAAACGACCTTACCCTCACTACCCAACTGTTGAGAGAAGTCTTGGAATTTGATCAAAAACCTTTACACTCTGTCTCTAACCTTTCCTGTGTCTAGCTCATGAAGCTAGATGTCCAGTTACAAATAAACAGGTTCTGACTAGTTATGTAAGATTATTCTAGGTTTGGATTTCAAACAGGAAGTTTATTTCTATATTTCATACAAGGCTATATATTCAGGACTCAACACTAAACACTGCATCCATAAACTGAGATTTTTCCATAAGATTACTTACTTCTACTATCTTCTGCACATCCACATCATTATAAAATGAAACAAATCCATAGCTACAAAGAAAGATAAATGAAGTGTAAAAATCACCACCAGAACAGTATATGGTCTAAAACTTCCAGTATTCTATGAAGTAACTGACTGAAATTATACTGATGAAGGATGAAGAATATACTGAAATAAAGTTTTAGATGTACATGATCAGTCATCTATAAACACTACCTTTTGTCTTCTTCCCCTGATCTAGGGGGAAGACATGCGTGAAGGTTAACACAGTGTGGGACATCATTCATTAACAGAAAATTCACATCTATGAACCTGAATTTAACTTACTATCTATTGCAAGATGGTTAAAACTTAAGATACCGTAAGATACATGAAAAAAACAGCTCTGATAGAACTGATTAATCCACTTACGTAAAATAAATGAAGGTAGGAAATATTTACATACAAACGCTATGAAAATGACTACATAGAAGAGTTGGCAGCAAACTTATCTTTTATATGTAAGAAACAAAGCAAAAAATTTATACAAGTGTAAGAACACGCGTTTTGAATTCTTCTATGCTACTCTATATAGAGACTATAGCTCACATATTTTTTATACTTTATACTGAACATTATGTTTTACTCACCCTTTGGACACACCAGTTCGATCCGTGATTATCTTCACTTCTTTTACTGAACCGTATCTAGCAAAGAAACTTCTAATTTCGGTTTCATCCATCTATGGAGAAGAATTTGACTTCAAGAGTAAAAATTCAGCATTCAAAAATTTCAATTATACTATAAAAAAGATTTGAAAATGTGGAGGTATCTCTCCTAAGGATCCCCAAACCACCTGTAGCTCTTTGTCAAAGATACTTTTAGTCTCTATAGGTTAAACATGAACCCAATTCCAAACCTGCATGAAGTACAAAAAAACCTTATGTTTGCATCAGGACCCAAACCCCAGTGTTCACTAAATATTTTCTTAAATAAATGAAATAGGAATACAATACCCTAACATCAATTCCACCAACAAAAACGGTGTTTGGCATGATTTTGCCTTCTGGTAAAACATAGCCTTGGCTGGTTGTAGCTGATGAAGACTGAGTGCTGGCCTCTCTGGAGATGGTAGAGTTTGGAGTCTCAGGATTTGCAGCAGACTGTAATTTGGAAAGCACATATCATCACTAAACCATGATGTGAAACACAATCTTTGTATTTAAAATACAGAGTATTTTCATATGAATTACTTTCATAGTAAATTGACCAGTAATACAGCTTAGTTCAGGTTTAGGATTTAAGGTAATCAGAGTAGATCAGTATGAAATTTTAACAAAAGAGTACAGTACATTCTTAAACCCAGTGTTGCTTATCATCATCTCTTACACTAAAGTAGAATACTGACTTTATACTGACTTTGTGAACTGGAAAGTTGAAATTTGTAAAAACAGTTATTAAACTCATTCTATTGTATGCCAGGTAAGCAAATTTTCACTTTACTGAGTACCTTATTAAAAAGCATGGTAAATCTTTTAAAAAAGATAATTTTTAAAAATCTGCATCAAAAACATACATCAAAGCTTTGTTTTCACTTATTTTTTATTTTAAAGAGAGTGCAAGAGACAATGAGCACATACCCATGGCACAAGCAGAGGACAGGGGTAGAGGGAGGGAGAGAGAACCTTAAGTTGGTTCCATGCTCAGCACAGAATCTGACAAGGGGCTTGATCCCACAACCCTGAGATCATGACCTGAGACAAGATCAAGAGCCAGACACTCAACCCACTGAGCCACCCAGACACCCCTACCACAAAGCTGTAAACAAATTTCTTTTGCCTCCTCTTTCTAGTCACCAAAATTAACATGCATTTTGTAATTAAATACTCTTTGTGTTAGTATGCATTTACTTTGGAAATGGATCATGAAAAGATTATTTGCTCACATATTGTAATACCTCCTGCTAAAAAAAGGGCTTACAATCCTTTCCCTTAGTGCTAGGGTGTTCAAAGCATCTTTTGAAATAACATTTTTCCTCTTCACTAACACCAAATCAGTCCCCACTGATAATTCTAATTTTCACAGTGGGCTGATAGATATAAATGATACTATCTTTATTTTCAAATTAAGAGACCCACACATGAAACTCATTTTTCTGGATTCTGGTCAGAACTCTATCTTTAGTTTTTCCACATAAGATTAATGTAAATTTTTCTGAAGCAAAATTTACTGGTAATATATATGTCGGAAAAGCAGTCTAACATAGTGAAACAAAATTGATTTAGTCAGGAGATCTGGGTTCATGTCCTTTACTAGGTTATAACCCCTTATTTGGTAGCTATTTATATCTGGAAAATTGCTTTGAGAATAAAGTGAGATAACATCTGCAAATTCATTTTGTAAAGTATAATGTGGTACACCAATATAAGTTAGTGTTCTATTATCTGCATTTATTTTCAATAGTTTAAAAAGCTTCTTTCTTGGTTTTACCATTTACTTACTTATTTTGTACATACTTTATTAATTAACAACCAATTTCAATTGGAACTTCAAAGAACCAATTATTGGCACATCCATATATCTGAAACTCATTTATGAAGTACCTATTGAGGGGTGTCTGGGTGGCTCTGTTGGTTAAGTGTCTGACTTTGGCTCAGGTCATGATCTCAAAGTTCATGAGCCTGAGCCCCATTTCAGGCTCTGTGCTGACAGCGTGGAGCCTGGAGCCTGCTTGAATTTTATGTCTCCCTCTCTCTCTGCCCTTCCCCCTCCCCAGAATGAATAAACATTAAAAAATTAAAAAAAAAAAAAGAAGTAGCTATTGATTAAGAGGGAAGTACAAAAGGCTGCAAGAGAAATAAACCCATTACATCTCTGCTTATGGAGAAAAACAGGGACAAAATAAACCAACTGATACATATATTTTTAAAAAGCAAGCACAGTAATTTCTATAGAAATCAGTGACAATAATAAAGTAGGCATAATTCCTATTTTTTTAGATGCTAGAAGTTACTAGTAAATTTAAGATTCTATAAACTTCTATACTGATTAGAGATGAAATCAAAACTCAAATCACCAAACGTGTTTTAGTTTCTATTAATTTGTACACATACAACTGATTCTTGAACATGGATTTGAACTGTCCAGGTCCACTCATTCACAAATATTTTTCAAAGAAATACAGTACAGTACTGTAAATACGTGGAGGAACAGTGGGTTGGTGTCCCTAACTCCTGCATTGTTCAAGAATCAACTGTACTTGCTATTTCGTGTTTCTATTTGGGTGCTTCCTAATTCTTTCCTCTTAACTATAGTATACTAATATTTCATAATAATGAAATAGAGTAAAAACCTTCTGAAGTTTTCCCATTTTTTTGTTTTCTAATTTTATTTTTTTTCCTACATGGGACTGACTATACTACATACTCCACGTATCTTTAACTATTAAAACTTGACTAGATTTCTCTTCACTATAAACAACTTACCAATCTCTTTCAGTTAGTTATTTCATAAGTTCAAAACAAATCCAAAAGTGGCTCTGAAATTCTAACAGACTTTCTTTTCTCCTTCTCAATTTCCCCTTCATTTGTGGATGAACTCTGGATACCTTTCTATTTGACAAGGTATAGTATTATCTGCTGTGAATGACCACGGATGAATGTTTTAATTTGAAGGTGTAAGGTCAGGCCAGAAAACTGTACCACATTATAAGGGGTTATGAGAATGTACTGATTCTCAACCAGGGGAGATTTTGTGATGCAGGGGCATTTTTGGTTGTCACAACTGAGGGGTACTCCTTGTATCTGGTAGCAGAGGCCAAGGATACAGTACATATCCTATAATGCAAAAAACAGCTTCCTACAACAAAAACCTATCTGTTCTAAAATGTGAACAGGGTCGCAGTTGAGAAACCCATGATAGCATCCCCAGAACTGAAGATGAAATTTCTAATTCTCATATTCTATTTAACAAAAGTAAAATGGATACTTGAGACATTAGGCAACAATTTGGGAAAAAAGGCCATTGTATATTATAGGAAATTTGGTTTGGGATTGAGTTATTCAAATTCACGGTCTCGTTAATTGAGATATTAAACATTATATTCAGCAAATCATTTTCTTTACATCTTAAATTAAGACACTACCATGTCTTAATCTTTAACCAGCAGGTGGTGCTCAAAGCTAACAAAGTAAGCAAAGTAGTCCATTTTAATAAGACATCAGCAGGGATTTTTTTTAAACTTCTGTGTGTGTACTTGTATACAATTATAATTTATATACACAACATCCAAAACCAATAAACAACCTTTAATACTTTTAAACTACTGCTAAAAATACTCCACAAATAAATGCTTAGGCTAAAGCAAAAAGTTTGGTATTATTAAAGTATTAATATTAACCATCAATAGCATACAAAAATAAATTTCATATAAATTAAATATAGGGAGTAATGATTTTTCTTAATTATATCTTCAGGTGAGTTGGCGGGTTTTGAGAAAAGTAATGCTAGGATATTAAGTAGCAGGAAACTTGGAGGCCTTCATATACAGAATTCTCATCACTGGTATTTACAGTAATACATTCCCTGGTGTACTTGGATAACGAAATGACAAAAATACCTAAAAGCTGAAAAAAAAACCTTATCATTACTAAAGCTCCTGGGATATCAGCTCTTTAACATTATTTCGTTCAACTTTTATAGCTACATGCAAGGCAACTGCAATCTGTAATTGACCACAAAAACAATCTATAATTTGTAGATTTGTCACTAGAGTTATATCCACAGAAGACACTAATAAAAAAAAAGCATAATAGGAAATAGGAAATGAAAATCAGAATAAAACCTTGTAAGTAAATCCAAGACTGGACTCTTAGAAACAATCCAAATAATAGACAAACAATCCTGAGAAAACCAAGAGAGAAAAAGGCAAGAAAGCAAAAATATACATTAGTGTTGAAAAAAGGTGGTATGACCACAGATTATAACAGAATCTTGATGAAATGGCCAACTTTCTAGAAAAATGTCAATCTTGAAAACAATCTTAAGAAAAAATACTTGATTCCTAGCTCGGTTTCACTGGGAGTTTTTTTCAAATTGTGAAGAAACAGATAATTGGTGTGTGTGTAGAGGGCACCAAGACAGAAACAATTGTACACAGAAGACAGTATGTATGAGAAAGATTCAGATACTTTAACTGAAAAACATTCCAGAGAAAAGAGAAGAAAAAAGGGTATTTTTCAATTCATTTTACAAAACTAACACCTAAATAACAAAACCTAATCAAAATGGTCCACCTCTGCCCCAACACAAAGATGCAAAATTCCAGCAGTATATAAAAAACATACAATTAAGAACAATTTATATTGAAAACTCCAAGATGGTTCATTCTTAGGAAATCTGTTACTGTCATTCACCAAAGGAAAGCATTTTATAAAATACATCCATCATTGAATTTTTAAAAACCCAAGTAAAACAGAAATCTTACTCTCTGTTGATGTAGCTCTAAGCTAACATCAGGCTTAAAAAGAAACAGCAATTTCCACTGAAATTAGAAAATAAAGGCAACTCCTTACCACTATAAATGACAAAGAATGTTAATGGAGTTCTTATAAATCCTTAAAAAAGATAAACATCCAAATAGATAGATGGATTAAGAATTTATAAAAAATAAATTTTGAAAGCTAATGACAAACTTCAACTTCATTAATGAGTAAAAAAAAAGCACATCAGAATGTATTTTCCACCTATTATTGGCAACTTTAAAAAGTGTTAACACCTCTCACTGGAAAGTGTGGAGATCATTCTGCACACAGAACACGTACTGGTACATGCTCCATCAAGAATAACTCAGAAAGATGTACTGTAATTTAAAATTGTTATAAAATGGGCATAACCCTTTCACTCAGTTGTTTCCATTCCTGGTAATTAATTTCAAGGAATTAATAAAATAAGTATTCCAAACCATTCACACAAAGATATTTACTATAGTACTGTTTTAATACAGAAAAATTATTCATTATAATTCATTATTATTATTCATTATTTAAATTTGGTAAAACAAGTAACGGTATAATCTTACATCTTAACATTACATACTTGAAATCATTAAAAAAAATTTTTTTACATTTATTTTTGATAGAGACAGAGCGTGAGTGGGGGAGGGGCAGAGAGAGAGGGAGAGACACAGAATCCGAGGCAGGCTCCAGGCTCTAAGTTTCAGCAGAGAGCCTGAAGCGGGGCTCGAACTCACAAACCACGAGATCATGACCTGAGCCGAAGTCGGGCGCTTAACCGACAGAGCCACCCAGGCACCCCACTTGAAATCACTTTAAATATATCTTTGAAAAATAATATTCATTATATTAAGTGAAGGATGCAAGATATAAAAAAGTATTATGTAGCATGGTACAACTTTTATAAAATAAAACTTAACCTATCTACGTGCAATACGTGCATAAAACAATCTGGAAGGGCATACATATAGCAAAACTTTGTTAAAGGGTTTGGGACAGACCGGTTTTCTTACACTGATTACTTTCAAATGAGTTAATATGCTACTGTTATAATCAGGGGGAAAAACGCTATTCGCATTCCCCTTTTTCTCTAAAAATGGAGAGGAAAAAAATACTGTACTTTTTTTATGAGCAACTCAGTGATTAGATAATGACATAAATAATAATACGTATAATTGCAGATTTTTATATACAGGATAATACATATAATTGCAGATTTTTATTTTAACCTTTATAGGTAGTAATATAAACTGTCTATAAATGTCCTCCGTTTACTTCTAAAAATGGAGAATACGAAAGATTACACTGCAAATCCACAGCGTCTAGAACACGTCTGTGACTTAAGTGTATGGGTCCAAAGTTTCAGAGTTGCACCCTGGTAATCAAAACCCGGCCAAGCATTTAACGAATTAAACTCCTAATCAAACGCATCAGCCATTACAGAGTACAGCAAGATTTCATTATGTCACCGTGGCGACGCTTTGGTTTTGGGGTGTTCTGCCGTGAGATCTCTGAGAGAAAGCTGCTTCCGAAAGCACACACTCGCGCCTCTGGCTATGTCCCTGGGAGCAGCAGTGTAAGTTCCTGCCTCAGCGGGTAACGGGCAGATGGCTGGCCGGAGCTTAGTTGTCCCAGTTGAGGCCAGCAGACGAGGGAGCCTCCCGGCGCCTGAAATAGGCATGAGGAAAAAAGTCACAATCAAACTCCTCGCTTTGCTTAGATTGTCTCGGCCGGCCAGCCTGCTTCCCTCGGACGTGAGTACACCCCGCGGCTCCCACCTCCCCCTCCCCAGCATTAAGAGCCTCCCCTCTCCTACTACCACCACGTGCGAGGGCGGGAAAGAAACCACTTGCCGAGGAAAACGCCGGCCCTCAAAGTCGACAGCCCAGTTCCCGGAGAGCCGGCGCCAGCTGGCTTCCCGGGGGCGGCAGCCCGACGCCATCTCGCACCAGACGCGCGACCTCCTCTCCTCAGGGTAAGCGCGGGAAGGGAGGCCCGCCGGGCGGGGTGGGGGTGGGGCGGCCGCGCGGTATTCACCTCCCCCCCCCCAAGTCCCCGCGGTCCACACCGCAGGCCGCCCTCACAGCCTAGCGGGCGCCTGCGGGAGGCAGGCGGGGCGGCGTGAAGGTCGTGGCCCTGCACGTGGTCGGCCGGAGGGACAGCGAGCCCCGGGGCCATTCCCCTCAGCGACAGCCACGGGGAATTCCTCCCCTCCCCCACGCCTCTAGGCCGCCTCGCCCTCCTCTCTCAGGCCATCTGTGGTGCACCCGGGCCGGCGCCTCAGAACAAGGAAGCGGGGTGGCCCCGATTTCAGCCCCCCTCCTGCGCGGCGCCAGAAAAGCCGAGTTTCCGCCACCCGGGAGATCCCCACCCGGGCGTGCGCCCCGCAGGCCTCCTCCTCCCCAACTCACCATGATGGCGGCAGCTAGCTGTTCCCGCTGAATGGGCTCGAGGAGGAGCGGAGGCTGGGCTTCTGGCACCACTCTTAGGGCTGCCGTTCGCTCTGCTCTTGCCGCTGCCCGGCTTCAACTTGGGCAAAGGGATAAAAGAGGACTAGAGGAAAATCGAAAGCAAGCGGCGAGATCCAGGAGCCCTAACAACCAAGTGGCGATGCTGAGGGGCGCAGGCGAACTGAGGCGTGGCCTGCGGGGCTCCCAGAGGTGGCTCTTGCGCCGGGTACTGGAGCTCGTGGTAGCCGCCTCAGCCAATGGGTGACAGCCCCCCGCCCCCTGCGGGGGGCGCTTGGGGGGGTACCGGCTCCCCCACCGGGGGTATGGAGGGGGTGCGCGTGGGTCGGCACTCCGTAGCCAGGGAGGCGCCGACCTGAGACTTATGGGCTGACAGACCCGCTTTCCCCTGGACCCACACGTCACCCCGAAAATGCCTTTGAAGCACACTTGAAATAAGCGTGCATCCTTAAATGTATATGAAAATTAAAAAAAAAAAAATTTAATGCATCTACGCTCTAGTTTCAAAATGGCGCCCGAACGCCCGGGATTAACCCGTTCCCGGTTATCCCTGTTGTCGCCCCCCCAAATCGATTAAATGACTACAGAAATAGAAAATAGAACCAAGTCTGTAGACTACGGGGAAGGAGACCCCCGAAAGTCCAGAAACATGGGCGCTTTTCTGTCAAGTTTGAGGTAGATGGGGTTGGATTGGACAGATAGGGCAGGCCAGGTTGGTTGGCGTTCAGGGCGTTTATTATTTCAAGAAACGTGTTGATGGTATCGACTGGCGATAGCACGGTACTGCAGATACAGGATAGAACGAAACGGGCAAACATTTCTTCCTTCAGGGAGTTTAAATTGTAAGGGGGC